GAAGTTATTAATAGATTATTTATTAAAGAGTGATTGATATGCATGCGCTAAAGCTGAACAGCAGCATCAGCACAAAAAATGCCAATAAATACCATGTATGGTGAATTATTTCTAGAATATAACTGACCTTATTGCTGAAAAATGGTTGAATAGAGATATCATGCCTTTCTTCACTTCCTGCACCATCAGAAGTACTTACATGATCTTGCTCTTTTGAAGACCCAGAGACAAAGGTAACCATTTCTGTACAGTTAGCCACCGTGATTTCTTTCAAAGATGGAAGTTTAAGCGTACTGCTTCCCTCATAGAAACATGTCAGGGTAGAACAAGACTCCAAATTGATGGAATTTAGCTGAGGAAACGCCTCATCAGCTCCATCTCCTGTGATCACATGCTCCATTGTGGCACAATTTGAGACTTTTAAATCTTGGAGGTTCACGAGGCCCAATGCCATAGAAGGTGTTAAAAGGTATCTCCAGCTTCTATAATTAGAAACTTCTAAAGACTTAAGATTTCTAAAAGGCAGAATTTCTCCAGGATTCCTGTTCCAAATTTCAATAATTGCCTGATCAAGAAGCTCAAACTCAGAGATCTTCAAATTTTCCAACCAATAGTATCCAATCTGCAGTGAAAATTGTACATGTGAACTCAATACAAGTCTTGCTTTTAACATAAAACCAATTAATAATAAGTGGAGTTCTTATATTTAATTCACAAGTTTCTTCCTTTTTTTACTTTTCCTTTTTATATTTGATATGAGATTTTCCCACTTAATAGGCACAAGAACCAAATAACGATTACAACAATATTAATAATGTATTATAAAAAAAAAAAAAAACCCTACTTCCACTTGATGACAATAAATTGGAGAAACATGTGAAATATTCCTTATTTTTTTTCAAATTAGATTTCTTTCAATTCTGTGATTTCATCATGGCACTAATGTGTTTGAAGAGTAAACTACTTGCACGCTCACTCACTTTGATCGTACCTTTTAATTTAATTGGTCATCCTCAGTTAAAATTTGTAAATTTAGCTATGAACATTCTTTTAACTTCTTTGTTGTTCATCACATTGTGTTGATGATGTGGCATATATGATAAAAAAAAAAAAAATAGAAGTGGGCCGAAATAGTTTTTTCTTAAGTTTAATATCAGATAAAGTTCTTGGACTAGATAGATAAAAAATATTCAAATTTATTGTTCGTTAAATAATATTTAGGACAATAAAAAAAGTGAGCATTTGAGGTCCTTCAGTTAATTACCGTTGGCTTCTATTATTTTTTATGTTAAGTTCTCTGTTATCTCATTAAAATAACTTTGTTAAGTTGGAAAATAAGCAAACAAGTGAAAAGTTTCCATAAAGTTCAGTCTTCATTGGAGGCTTGGAGCCATCAATGCTCTGTGACCGTAAGGAATAACAGACTGAAGGTGAAAGCAAGAACCACAGGTAGGATACAGATTTATCATTAAAAGTAATATAATGAAGTTACCACAACTTTTCATCAAATTTTATTTACTTTAACAGGATAATCAATATGAAGTAAAGAAAACGTAAAAATAAGAAACAAAAAACTAAAGAAAATTTTTTTGAATCAATACATACCTTTTCCATGAACAACCGTTGCAGAGTGATGTTAAGGTCCCCTTCCCAGCGTCCTTCATCATCTTCTTCTGTCAATTTTACTTTCAGCAGTTTTGGTGTGCTTAAGTTTCCCTTGGAGAAAAGCTGCATTTTTGGACAACCCATCACAATTATGTCTTTCAAAAATGGAAACTCAAAGTTGCAGTCCACTGAGCAAAAGGCTGCTAATCTTGGTAGACAGTTCAGTCGCAAATACTTGAGCTGGCTGAAGACAATACCATCCTTCCCCTCATCATCCACGCATGTCACAATTTCTCCTACCATATCGCAATCACTTATACTTATTCTTGTGAGCTGCACCAAGCTTTTAGCTGTTGAATACCTCATTAAACTTACAAGTCCATGACATCTTGATACTTCTAGATCCTGCAGATTCCCCAAAGATATAATGGATGGCGCTAAATTCATTAATTTGCTACATTCAAGCACTTCCAGAGCTCTCAAGTTGTAGACAATGGTTTCCAAGTCAGGTTTAACCTTCCAGAGATGCATTAGCTCATTAAGATTAGATAACCTTAATTCCCTTAACCGAGTGAGTGCACCTGCAGGTCTTCCCTCACCACCAGATCCTTCACATCGAAATATTTCATGAAAGGAAGCATAGGTCACAACAAGTTTCTCAAGACTGCAAGGGAGTGACTGGAAGAAGAAAGGAGGAACAACTGATTGCTCAGAAAAGTGGATAAGCTCCAATTTTTTTAGTTTGGGAAAGTAGTCCCCTGCATATTGCCCACGCCATATCTCCTTCAGACTGCCAATCCTTTCAAGTTTCAATTCTTCTAGATTGGAGAATGTAGCCTGAAAATTTGAAATATAATGTTTTTTTCTTAGGATGAAAAACAAGAGGTGGGATTCAAAATGGTAACTGATGCAAATCCTCTGTTCATTATTTTATGCAATTCAATTTTTTTTTTTTTTTGTGTCACTGGCACATTAGTAAAACATATTCTGCTTGACAAGTTATAAGTCCAACATAAAAGGGAGAATAATAAGCCATATAAGTTGAAAATGTTGCATAGTTTTTACTTTTAAAAAGCAAACAAATGAACATGTGTAGATAATTAGAATAATATGCAATTATATTATTAATTTATGAATTAAAAAAAAAACTACTTTTTTTTGACCGACAAAAAAATCACTCATATAATAAAACACAAACTTTATCACACAAATAGACTAAATCAACCAGAAAAAAAGCAAGTTGCCTGTGCATTTTTCAACACCAAAAACCAAAAACTCCTTCAAAAAAAAAAAAAATAAAAAAAAAAAAAAAAAAAAAAAAACCAAAAACAACTTAATGAAATGAAAAAGTTAAGTTTTATTTTTCGTTTATAAAAAAAGGAAAGCTTTTCCACTAACAAATGAAGTGCATCACAAACAAATCACAAACCAGGCATACCCAGGACTCCACTAAAATAAGAGATTCAAATGACTAATTGAGACAGGGATATAACCATAAAGTAAATTTTAGTAGCAACATGTACAGCAATACCCATTCTTATTTATTTGAAAATTCGAGTAAAATATTATAATGAAAGTTAACAAATAATTTTTATTAATAATGTTTTTTTTCTGTAAACTTCCATTTATAAAGTGGGTAATTTGATTTTCTTAATCATTCAATCAAATGGAATTAATTTTTTTTGGAAAAAATAAGCATTACTATGTGGCTTATACATTTTGCTCGATTTGAATATGTTCAGCCCAAAAAGCTTTACTAGAAATATATAGTGCATCTCACACATGCACAACGGATTTCTCCCTATTATTATAAAATAATTAGAGTTCAAACCTTGTTGATCCAGAAAAGAGGATGTTGTCGAGTCTCAAGTTGGTGATCACTAGTTGTACTTCGGAAGCTGGGAAATTCTAAAGCAAATATCTCTAGCTGCTGGAATCCAACCACCTCCAATTTCTTCAGAGATGGGCATTTAAAGTGTATTGGATGGCAGAAACCCTTGAGCTTGGGTAGGCTTTCAAGGCTCAGTTCTGTCAATTTTGGAAGTACCAAATTGGTTTCAGTTTCTACCAAAGTTGGCTGACTGGCTACCAGAGCTCGTGAATAGCTAGCAATATGTCCTTGAGGTTCAAATATCACTTCTAGTGAATCACATCTCCTAATCCACAGTTTTTCTAGTCTCTGAAGTCTTTCCAGCATACTAAATGGGAAAATGCTCTCTAGTGTTTCACAGTCAGGTACAACAAGGTGTTTTAGTTTGCAGAATGAGTCTGCATCAAGTTGGTTGTGCCATATCTTGTCCAAGCTCCCTATATGACTGATTGCTAGATTCTCTAGCATAGGAAGTGCCACCTAAAGAATTTATTGGTGGCAGAAATAACTTATCAGTATAAGAAAGACAAAAACTCTAACTTTAGAATCCAATTAAAAAAGGAAAGGCTTTAAGAGGTGAAACTATAATAGTATTAATGTGAGACAGGGAAAAGCAATAAGAAGAAATCACCTTTGCATCAAATAGAAGTGGTGTGGAGGTGTTTTCAGCTTTCTCTGTACTGACTACTGTGTCTCCAATAACAGGGCTAGAGGTGAACGCCTTCAACAGAGGACATTGATTTATTATAATTGTCTTTATGCGGGGGAATGCAATGTAATTTCCAGAACAGAATCTTTTGAGTTTGGGAAGGTCATCAAGTTCCAAGGTTTGCAAATTTGGGAAAAATATCTTCTGGGTCGTGACTTCTTCCGCAAATCCTTCTTCTGTGACTATTACCCCTTCCATCATCTTACAATTCTTAACAACGAGGCCTTGAAGATTCACTAAACTTTTAACCATAGAGGATGCCAATAGATTTTTTAAACTACCACAGCCCTCCACACTACAGTCTTTTAGATTTCGAACAAGAGAAGACATTTCTGGAACCCGATTGTGCCAAATTTGCTGAATGTTAATATTTCCAGACAGCTTTAAATACTCCAGGTTGAAACCCTCAAGCTGAAAGAAGATTCACCAATTTAATGAACAGCTTTTTCTTCATTAACAAAAAGGAAACAAAGAAGTCACAAGTACAAGGCAAAATATGAAAAGGACATACATACGATTACACAACACAACGAGCCTAGATATATGGAGTGACAGTACTCGACTCTGTTTAGGCTTGCATAATTTTTCTGAATAATCGATGGTGTTTGCTGAACTCGACTAATTTCGGATTTTAAGACAAGCAAATTCCATAAAATTGCCACAAAAATTTTTATAAAGAAAAGCCTAGATATTTATGTACTCAAAAAAATTAATTAACTTAGGCTTGATTTGTCTGTGCTTCTCACACGTTTTTTTTCACACAACACATTTTTAAAAAC